CACCGCTTGATCAATTAGCAATGAGAAGGCGCTTTTGATTGCGGCATTTTATTTCATTGAATTTAATACTGCCAAAAACAAATTACAATTGATCTTTGAATGCTTTATAAAATGATTGAACATAGGTGAAAATACATTTCCAATCGGGTCGATCACCCATTAGCAGCATATCATCAACTTCAAGTAACGGTACAATACCATTTTGTCTGCAAATTTTGGCAAATATTATTTCAAAAATTTTTCAATGAATTATTTTTCACATTTGAAAGCGTTCGTTTAATACTTTGAAAATGAATTTTTTGCAGAGTTAAAAAAAAATTACAAAAATAAAAGCCTAAAATATTGCATAATTTTTTTTTTGTTACTGTTCATTATCATTTGCTTGAATTTGAAATTAATCCACTTGAAGTAAGTCAAACTAAAATCAAAAAGAAATTATCTATGTAAATTAAATCAAAAATAAAAATTTGAATGTAAATTTGAATTTTGATGAAAATTCTGCAACAGAAAGAAAAAAAAACGAAGCTTACTCGGCCACCCTAAATGCCAATTCTAAATTTTCTCGTCGATTTCGTGGATCCAATTTATTAAAATCAAATGAATCAGGTACAAATCGATGGATCAATGCGCAAAATGCTATACCATCAGCCCAACATGATGAGAAATTCGTAATTTGAACCTTTAAAAATTTATTTTTGTTTCATTCAAAATTAACCAAAATTCATTTGTCGCAAAAAAAAAACAAATAAAAATTTAATATATTAATTGTTACAACTATTGTTACATAGATAATTTATGCAAAATTAAAAATTATCCAAATTCTTTATTTCTCATTCAATTTCTTCAAACAAAAAAATTCTTGGCGATTATTTGTTTGAAGAAATTTTGTAACGAAGTTATCTCTTTTTTTTTTCTTTTTTGCTTTAAAATACTTTTATACGAAAGTTGTAAAAAAAAATGTTTGCTATGGAAACTTTTTGCAAATTTTAGTTAAATTTTGAAATTGTGGAAAATTTTTTTCGAGAAACTTACGGGATAATTTTCCAATTTAATTTGGCACCATCGCAAAAGCGCATTTTTTATGGTTGATGGATTGAATGGTCGTGTAGCTTGCGATTGACTGGAAAAAAAAATTGTTTTTTTTTTGTCCAAAAAATTTTTTTAAATCAATTTTCTGAAACTGTTTTTTTTTTTTGCAGAATTGATTGATTTGAATGTATGATTATAATTGCAATCATTATCACAATTAACAATCATTATAACGATAGCAGTTCCACAAACAATATGATATTATTCAAAATAGGTATAAATGAAATGTTCGCTAAAGATAGCTATATGTGTTCTTTTCATATCACTTTTGCTGATATCGTTGTCACTATTGATGCTCGTCGTGATAACGATGATGATATCAGCAAAAATGTTATGGGATTTTTGATGTCTTTGTGCTTTTATTTGAAATAAACTAAAGAAGTTTTCGTACAACGAAAGCTTTCAGTAAATCAAATATACAAATACAGATTGATTAAATATTTTGGTTAAGCTTTTCAGTTAAACAATTAAGCATTTGCATAAAAGAGTTTTCAATCTGTTATCTATTACCACAACAATCATTACTATCATTATCACTAGCAACAATACAATAACTGATAAATATCTAAGCTTTCTTCAGTTCATATCTATTTTCTATTTTTTTATTGCATAGAAAATATTCGGTTAAATAAATTAAAATTTTCTATTAAAGGAGATTTACTATTTATCATGCAATTATTGAATAATCAATTTGTACAAATTCACAAAAATTTATAGTTCATCATTATTTCTTATTTGTTATCAGTTAATTTCAAACGTCAATTAGAACTGTTGCTCTATCGACTCAACAACGATCTCTTCATTTGATTATGACAAATTCAAAAAAAAAAATGGATCAAATTGAAATATTATTAGCTACTAAATTATAATTGCCCATATAATTTAATCTACAAAATTAAAAATTTTGATTTTGGAAATTTTTTTTTTTGGAATAAAAAAATGAAAGAATGAAAAGTACTAAAAGCACAAACCTCGCACGATGCATTTGATCCATCTGCTTGAAAACGTTAACCTTTGACATTTTATCGTTATCTGCAACGAAAAGATTAATTGTAACGAAGAAAGAGACAGAAAAAGAGACAGAGAGAGGGGAGAGAAAGTATTTAGACATGTAAAATAATTTAATTTTAACATTCAGCCATTCTTGCTTCATATTTTTTCAAGCTCAAATTTCATTTCAGTTTTACTTTTAAATTACGTAATACAGAGAGTGGAAGCAAGATAGTCTGCTATAATTATGTTCATAAGACAAAAAGTCGTTTCAAATTTAAAATTTTAAATTGGAAACTTTATCATTTTTTCCTGGGAACTTATTAAAATAAAAAATTAATTATTCATCTTTTAAGCATCGCACTCTACAGTTAAAGCTTAAGCTTAATTTAAAAGAGATATTAATAAGTAGCAAATTTAATTGTACACGTTATTACGATGTGATTAGACAGTTTTTAAAGCATATTTATCTATCATGTAATATATTGATCATTGCAAAATTTACAAAATTACCAAATTAATTAAATGATGATAGCATAGAAATTGATGTAAACTTAGCAAATGAGCTCACAGCTTATATCACCAATCTCGGTTTTCCATTAATTTAAGCCACCATCATTTATATTTATATCTTACTTGAAAGTTTCCTATTATTTAATTAATTTATTTTTTGTTAATCCCTAAATCATACAAAACATTGCTACATTTTACCAATATAAACATGAAATTGATAAATATTTCTTGATAAAGCTGTTAAATTGTTCGATAATATGATAATAATTCGAAAATTAAACAAATGGAAAGTGTTGTTTGGAGCGGCCAAAATAGCAAGTAAGTTATCGAAATTTGTAAAATTTGTGAAATTTATTTAAATGTGGCCAAAGAAAAGCAGATAAATTATTGAAAAATCAAATAAATGAATAGTAAAAAAATGACTGAAAAAAATTTTTGTCTTTTTTAGATTAAATAAAACTAAAAACAAAAAATAAAAATTGCATAAAGGGTAAAAGTGGGAGAGAGAGAGAGAAAAAGAGAGAGAAAAGGTAAGGTCGTTGATGGTCGAATTTCGTTATCAGTAATATAATCTTCACAATATTACTCCTCTTTCTCGTTTGCTAATTGATACAATTTCCGTTTACATTACAATGAATTCATAAAGCGTTTTCAATAGTAATATAGTTCAAATCTGATTAAGCAAGAATTGATAATTTATTCGTAAATCACAATGTCAAATTGATTATTTTAATGAATTTAACTATTTCTGTTATTAACTGATATGTATGAATTTTTGTGATAATCGATCTGATAGTAGTTTTTATCACAGCAATAATAATTTACCATCATTTCTTCTTGCTAGTTATGAAAATTTTCAAAAAATTCGATCTTTTTTTTTTCTTTTTTTGATATTTTCCCATCAAAAAATGCAGTCAGTTATATTTAATGCATTATTTACATCCATTATTTTGCAACTATTTTCAAAATTACAGATCAAATTTTCCATTTCTGTTTAATGTAGTGAATTTTCCTAGGCATTAACTGTTTTTCTCCTTTCATGCTTAAATTTAGTTCCAAAATTTTGTTGAAAATTTTTTCTACATTAACTGAAGCAATTAGTTTAAATATACAAATGTAAAAAAGAGAGAAAAGAAAACTAATCCAAATCCAAATTTTACAATTGAAGTTGCTTATTTATTAAAATAAAATAGTATGATTGGCGAAATGATGATAATAATTGTCGAAAATGACTTTTAAAAATCGTTAGTTTAACAATAGCAATAAAATGACAATAATAAAACTTTTAAATTAGTGATCGAAAATATAAAACATGCTCACTCAAAACAATTCCATTGCTATCATTATTTTTATTATCTTTAATCATCGCAAAATTTTTATTTTGATTTTTCAAGCCAATTTTAATTGACGAAATTAATTAACAAATTGACGATGGAAAGTTAGTTAACAAAACAAATTTGTTTGAAATGAAATGCAAAGAGTAAAATTGTTACTGCATAATTACTTTACACATATAGGTAAGTTAATAGCGTGTCAACAATTTCTTTTATGAGTTATTACTGCAATTTTTAACCACATTTTGAACTGTATGATCTCGCATATATTAATTTTAAAAATTGGATGAGAAAAATCACTGTAGAATTTTAATTAAAAAATTTACTACTAAATATATTGACTATTTTCTTATCTTTTTTTAAAAACTGATAGCGTTTTTTCAGACAGAATTTTCATTGTGACTGCTAATTTCTCCATTCCTAAAGTTTTAAATTTAAATTAAAATCTTATTGATTGGAAGAAAGCGTATGAATGTATAAAATAAGCATAATGATTAGTGATTGTTGCTGCAAAAAGGAAATAAACCACAGATGCTGCTCAGTGAAGTTAACGATGATGCTAAAATGAGCAGGTGTTCAAATAAGTTTATCAGTTAAGATTAATGATAAGAAGCATAGATCAGAAAAGGATGTGATGATAGAGATAAAAGAGAGAAACAAAATGTTGATAGAATGTAAAATTGCAGTTTAAGCTTGAATTCTTCTTGAAAAACGCTCAACAACAACAACAACAACAATAATAGCCAAAACATCATTAGTACCTGCAATTTTCGAAAAATTTTTTTATTACATATTTAATTAACTAATCTACTGTTTCTCACGCTGATAGTAATTAAGTATGAAAAATTTTGGAATAAAATAATGAAAGTATTTTGCAGTAAGACATATAAAAATTCAAAGAATATGTAAAAATTTAGAGTTTAAAAAAAATTCAGCACATAAGAGTTGAAGTTAAAATTCAAAATTTTGACGAAAAAAAAAAGGGGAAAAATTTTCTCTTCTAGCCATGCGTTTCTAGCAAAAGAGTGGTACGTCAAAAATTGAAATTAATTAATAATAATAAAAATGTAATATTTGAGATTGAAAAATGTGTTACTTTCGATGCATCTATAAAAAATACTTACGCAATAACATTTTTTTATACATCAAGAAAAACAAAATTTATTGATTGCTTTTGTGACAAATAAAATTAATCATAAATTGCAGTTAATATCAGTAATATCCATTAAATTATGTTATTTTGAATACTATTTTAAACTATATTAATTTGTGGACCGATTGTAATATTAATGAGCATCTTTTGCATGAAAAATAAACAATAAGAAGTATATGATAACTTTTTGATTTCAAATTATTCTGTCTGAAATCCTGTCCGAAAATGGAATTCATATTATTTTCTTTTTATTAATTGCAGAATGTAGTAAACAAGTGGAAAAAATTTTAATAACAAAAAAGTTATCAAAATGAAAAAAAAATTTTTTTTTTTTACTTTTGATAGCTAATAATTTACAGCATTTGTTGAATCAAAAAAAAAAAAACTAAAATAATTTTCTGCCAAAGAAAAAAATTGATTCAATCAATTAATTGTAAGTAATTATTTTGTTCTGATACATTCATTTAGTATTACTTTTATGATAGTGTTATTTGAACAGACAATCGTTATTAAATTTTATATTAATCAACCCGTAACCCTACAATTAAACAATAATTAATCATTCGCATAATCAATTAAAAAAAAACGATCTAAAATTACTCAATTTTTTTCTAAATTTTAAATTTTGCTTATATGTTTTATATTTGGATAATGATTTTTTTCCAAAAATTATATGATTGAATCAACAAAAAAAAAAAAAAGAAAAGAAAAAATTAGAAGATGGAAGGAATGAAAGAAGCATGAAAAAAGAAAATAAAAAAGAAAGAGGTGAAAGAAAATCGGGACAGTCAAATTTTGTGATATCGATGATCGTTATCATGAAACTTGACCGGTAGATGTCACCATCCCTTAATGCAGCACCGGGAAAAGGACATGATCGGAAGCTTCAAATAAACTAATTGTATTACATAAACCGAAAGTGTCACTTAATTTTTTTTTTTGCTTTAAGTGATGATAATTCAAAATTTCACACTTATATTTTAAATCAAAATTAAAACAGCATTTTATCAAAACTGAGCAATATTTACCTGAAGAAAAAAAAAACATATTTTAATTTATTTTTAATTTCAAAAAGAGGAATGGAAAAAAAAAGGGTAGAAGGATATGTAACAGGTTTGTGAGCAAGAAATACATTGATAAATGAAGCTTTGAAACTAGTTTATTTCAAAAATTGATTGAAGACACTCATGTATCTTCAGCTTTTACCACTTAAATTTATTTTAACATTTAAGCTTCTCTGCAAGATATTGCGCACAATTCATTATTAATTCGACACTAA